ACACAAAAACGCCCATATAAACCAAAAAACTGAAAATTTGTATTTATCTCCCCATGGACCCAATGAATCTCTACGTCAAATTTGGTGAAGATCCATCAACAGGGGGCGAAATGGTGGTAAAAAACGCAAAAACACAAAAACGCCCATATAAACCAAAAAACTGAAAATTTGTATTTATCTCCCCATGGACCCAATGAATCTCTACGTCAAATTTGGTGAAGATCCATCAACAGGGGGCGAAATGGTGGTAAAAAACGCAAAAACACAAAAACGCCCATATAAACCACAAAACTGAAAATTTGTATTTATCTCCCCATGGACCCAATGAATCTCTACGTCAAATTTGGTGAAGATCCATCTACAGGGGAGGGGGGGGGGCGAAGTAGTGGTAAAAACGCAAAAAGTCAAAAACGCCCTTAATAACCGCAAAATGCAAAACTGAAAATTAGTATGTACCTTCGCATTGACCTAATGAACCTCCATACCAATTTTCGTGAAGATCCATCCACACCCTGCGAAATGGTTACATGGACATACAACAGACAGTACTATTATATTTATATAGATGTGTTTTGATCTGCAAATAAGAACAAGATGCGTGCATTGTTTATATCTATTATGACTCTCGTTTAAGCGTTACTTTTGTGCCTTGGCTATAATTTTAAGACATCCCAGTCCTTGTATTATCAATATCTTTAGAAACATTCATTTTTTAAAGTTATTTTTCCTTTTTTGGGGTTTCGGTATAGTGTAGGATTAAGTTTGCTAACTCCCCTACTGTTATAAACAACGCCACCTACATTAGTAAAATACATTCACGACATATAATAAAAAAAAGTGTTTCATAAAACAATATGAACGTTCCTTCACATCTAAGGCGGAGGTTTATCTTCGTATTATCAATATTTTAGAAAAAGAATCACTGCCTATGTGTAACTCCTATTTCTGTCTCATGTATAATTATTAAATATATATATATATTGTAAATTCTTCCTACAATTTTACTATCAGTTGATTTTCACTACTTTTATATTTACATCAGAAGTATCAAACGTTTTGAAGGATACATTTTCTTTCATGAATTTTTACTAACTTACTTAAATGTAAATGTTGAATGCTAACTAATACAGTTTCAACGTTTTTCTAATATTCAGCAAAATAAAGAGTAATATTAAAAATAGATGTATTTAAAGTTCATAATGCCGTTATTAAGCTTGTCTACTTACCCATTTATCTCATCATCCTTTCGTTTATTCAATAATCGCTCTCGACTAACTTGTTCTTATTCGATGACGAGGAACCCACTTTGAGACTAATAATGGCTGGAGACGGCTTAAATGGGTAATGAAGAAAAACTTTAATACAAGTTTAACATGACAGCAAATGTACAACGTTTCGACAAGGTTTTGTCATCACCAGACAAAACCTTGTCGAACCGTTGTACATTTGCTGTCATGTTAAACTTGTATTAAAGTTTTTCTTCATTACCCATTTAAGCCGTCTCCAGCCATTATTAGTCTCAAAGTGGGTTCCTCGTCATCGAATAAGAACAAGTTAGTCGAAAGCGATTATTGAATAAACGAAAGGATGAT